AGAAAGTCTATTATGTGTTACTAATTGCAGCGGCTATAAATGAGATTGGAGAACGTTGGATAACATTTTTGCTTTTTTTCATTCAATACAAGCTGAAGAAGCTATATTTAGAATGGTGTTTATTCTTATTTTAAGACCATCTTAAGTAATGTCTTAAGATGCTAAAACAATTCTCTGATTGGCTGACATTTTAATTCTGTACTTAAGACAGTCTCAAATATAAGAATCGACTATATAAATATCAGCTTTAATCTAATTCTATTCGAAATCGTAACACAGCGTACATATTCTGTTCCAATTGAGTCATGCACAATACTATATTTTGTACATTTTTATGTACATTTATATTAAGATATAAGCAATTGGAAAGCACTCTATTTTGCGAACCCTGAACTGTTTTAAGTTAATATCATCTTTAACTCTGAGCCTCCATTTTCCTAGCTCGCTCACATACGCGTCAACGTATAAGATATCAGCGAAGGCGCGGGCGAGATCGCTACGTATCCGGGAGGGCCGAAAATGAGGACGGGAGGGCTGGGAGGACAGGGCCGTACGCTGATAACAGTGATACGCTTGACAGCAGCGTTGCGGCCTGCGATCGATTGCGGTAAAGCCACGGTGAATAGCTGCAAGTTGCGGTAGGGCTGTGTGTATCAGGAGTCACTCTTTACATGTTTGTTCGATCCATTCAGCCGAAAAGAGAAAAAAGGGTCAGATCGACCGATGAGGTGTGGGGATTGAGGGACGGGGGAGACCTTGGAGGCTGCCATTGCGTTTCGTAACTTAACCTTTCCATTTTGCCGCCTCCAATCTCCCGTCCACCCTTCCCCCCCCCTCTCTCTCTCTCTCTCTCTCTCTCTCTCTCTCGCCTTTTTCCTCGCTCCTCCGCCTTCTCCTTCCCCGGGCCCTCCGGTCAAACACGCACGATTCCTCCAAGAATTGGAGACTTGCTCCAAATCGCCGTATCCCCTTTCGCATTCTTCCAGACCATCGATTCAGTGGCCCTCAGCGATCCTCCCCGAGATGTAACGATAATTCGAGGCGCGAGCGAGTACCCGGGCTCGGGGATCGCTAATTGGATCGCTTAATTATTTTCCGAGGAGCGTTCGTTCGAGCCCTTCATAACGGTTTAATAACGTGCCATGCGTGCGGAGGGAAAGACAAACTTGGTTTTCTAGGACAGAGATTCGGGCAGTGACATTTCCTCGAATTATGAAACTTTGAACAATCTAGACTTAGACCGTGCCTCGATTCCGTCGAGGTACTCTCGCGCAAAATTCACGCACGAAATTCGCGAATTTTCCAAGAATTTCGGCGCCGCATGGCTCGCACCTCGATACACTCGGGAACGTAGCTACGTGTGGTAATCATCGATAAACACGAGACCCGGGCGACGGATCGACGATTTCTTGGGCGGCGCAGATGGCGCGGTACCTTTCCCAGAAACGTCCCGCTTCCTGACCGGCATCGTTTTGCGTTTCTGCATGTTTCAGGGGCGTATCTACCCCGCAGCTTCGTCCCGCTTGCCCTTTCTCCTTATGCCAATGATCCTCCTCATCGAGCTCTCTTCCTTTCCCTCTCTCTCTCTCCCTCTCTCTCTTTCTCTTTCAGGGCCCGTCCGGCCACTCTCCTCTCCTTCTCTCTCTTCCGGCTTACGGCGTCTTCGCGCGTACGAGTGCCTTTGTTCCGGCGCGCGGGTCCTTTGTGAATTTCATAGTCAGCTGCACGAGACCGTGTGTGCTGCCCCGCGGCCCCGTTTACATTTTCTAGGATGCCATGGCCCACTATTTTTAGGCGCAGTCCGCCACCGAGGAGCCAGCGCGGTTCCGTACGTAACACGCGCACATCGTGTTTTTTTTATACGCCGCGACTGATATCGTCATTCGCCTGTATTTTTGGCGCATGTTTAATGATAAATGTGGTCGTTTATTTCACGCAAGTCAAGTTGACATCGAACGTAGTTGTGTATCAAACGAATAAATCTCGGAATCGTAACGTAACGTTGCATAAATGATGGAGGGTGACACTAATATAGTAGATAATAAATGCAGTGTAGATAATAATTAAGAAATGCAGTGTAGATAATAATTAAGAAAAATGACCGAGAACGATGACTGAAAAAAAGAAAGATTTCTCACAAGCCATGAACAATGGAAGGAAATTTCTAAAAATCGATTTTTTTTTGTATGAAATGCATTGTACATGCATAGAAAAATATTTACTGTACACAATATAATAATTATATACTTATTTCAATAATATTTGAAAAGTTCATATAATCACAAATCTGTATTATAAGTACCATCACAATTGTGTCCATTACAATTTACTCAAAGTATTCTAATCCTAGTAAGTTTAATATTTCAAGATCAAAATTATTAAATTACAA